GTGACATTTAATAGCATTTTCAAAGCTATCCGTGCATGATTAATTTAAAAAATTGAAATAATTAAAGAATTTTCCTAATTAGTAAGAATAATATAAGATTTTGTTTTTGATCATAAATCACAAATTATTTTTTTTAATTCTTTAATATTATGAAAAACAAATCAGTCATCCAATTATACATGGAAAGTGTATCATAATAATAGCTATTAAACGTAGTTGAATGTTTTTATGTAAAATAAAATAAGAATTTTATCATCATTAAGTTTAAACAATTATAAAAGTTACAATAAATAGATTGTTAATAATACAAAAAAATCCTACACACATAATATTATTCTTCCTCATTTATATAAAAGAATAGGCATTATTTATGTTCCAGTTTTGTGACAACACTATTTATCATTTTTCCATTTTTTTTTTTCACAAGATAGTACCAAATACTCTTACGAGTGATCTATTATAAACAATTTAATTTTATTCGTCATCACAGTTATAATTGTTTTCGCACTCTGTCATAAATAAATACTTACCAGTTGCCGAACTCATAAACTACTATTAATATAATATTTTTAATAATAGTTTTATTAATAGGAAAACACCAACTAACTCAATCATATAAATTGCGTTATCGAAAAATAATAATACTCTTCTTATCGATATGCTAACAACACTTAAATGTGTCTTTTCTAAAATACAACAATGTGTGTTGATTTAAGAATTTAATTTTGAGAAAGCACAAACTACACACGGGCGAAGCCGGATAATTCAGCTGATATTATATTATAATATTGGTTGCTTAGGCTGAACATTAAAATCTTTCGGAGACTATGTGGTCAACTACCAACGAGAAAAATTTAGTAACATCAAAAATTATACAAAATAAATTATCACCTGTAGGCTGTATGTAGTAATTACTAATTACAATTTTGGTGCATATTTTTTAAATATTAAAATTACAGTATAATGTAAGACTTCATTTCATTGCGATTTGTAAGTTGTGCATGGTAGCAAAGCGTGAGCGATAAGCGTTTCTCCGACAATGACAAGTTCAGCCAATCCCAGAATTCTCCATGATTGTCTACTCGGATCTATTAACAAAAACAATAAAGACGTTAAAATAATTACCTACTGTTTATTATCACCAAAACGACACGGAAATGACAAACATAACTTTTACCATAAGTACCTATTATTAATTATTACTTAGTACTTGCTATTAAATATTTACTTTGGTCTATCAGTGTATGCATCTATGTACACTGTACAGTAATATAGATTATTCACATGGCCGTAAGCCCGTAAACATACCACCAACGCTCATCCACTCTGGTAGGTTGTAGGTATACTGATCCACTCGGAGAGACGACGATAAGTAGACCAAATTTATCTTCGATGACCAAATGGTTGGGAAACCATTGTTTGGACGAAAGAATACCTAAAAATTCCTGACGACTGTGACACCAGCCGCCAACCATCTGCCAATGGAGTATACAAAAACATAATAATAATATATTATATTGTATGGCATGTATACGGTCGGTGTTCAGTGTAGTCCAATTGGGATTAAAATCGCAGATTTATTGTTTTTCGCATTCAGTGGGGAGTTGATGCATAAGAAGCATTCAAAAACGCGCGTATGTGTGGTCCGACCTAAATCAATATCGAAGTATCGAACAATGTATTAACTATTAGTTGAAAATGATCGTTGCTAAAGGAAAAAATGTTTATTATACAGGTATAGCAAAAGTCGGTTCCTCAATTTACACAACAAATAAAATATTTTATTTATATTTATTAATTACAAAGAATCACTTCTTTATGTTTGAACTGATCATCATTTCGATGCAACTGCGGCAACAAGAGCTCACAAAACGGCATATGTGGCGCAGTTTTTCGATAACAAGACACAGCGGGAACCGACTTATGCCGCTCTCTGTATACCTACTCTATATAGATACACAGTACATACTGGAATTATATGAACACAATAATAACCGCCAATCAACTCATTTTTCAAGAGTGAAAAAACTCATTAAAAGTGACCGATGTGTATACACCTATAATATATTATGATGATGGCCAACGTGAAATCATTAGAAATGTTTTAGAACCAATAAATGCATACCGACTACCGAATAATAATTGTGATATGTACATTCGACGAAGACTTACCATATTACACGAAATTATATTTTAATTCGTGTATAAATTCTTCAAATTTTACATTGTTAACCGTTTTCCGTTGCAATATCTGGTGTCGAGTTTTGATTTTAAAGCGAATTGATCTATTATCAAACATTTAGGTAAGAACATTGTCTGTGTCCTTTCGTTGGTTTTTTACGATATTTTGGTTTTTAAGTGAGTTGTAACTTATGACTTTATAAGTATGAAAAATATAAATATTTGAAAATGACAAAATAATTCGCTTAAAAAATAAAACATCGGTAAAAACCAACGAGAGAACCCGAGAACACAGATAATGTTCTAATCTAAAAATTTGATAATAGATCAATTCAGTCAAAAATAAAAACTAAAAGCTTACCATTGAAACTGGTAAACGAAAATTTACCATGTCGTACGTGTGTAAGACGGAGACAACATATGCGGATGTGATGTCCTCTCAAAGATTAAAACAGTTTGTGTGCATTATGAAAAATCAAATTGTATTATCATGAATGCTAATTAGTTATTGATGATTCTATTAAAATAAATAAATTTAAGTTTAAATAATAATTGCAAGACCTTTGATAAGATACAATGATAATTTGATTTTATATTTTCTCTTTTACCATTAACATTGTTTTAATTGAAAGTTGATTATATTTTTTCTTTAATGTAATTAATAAATTATTTATAACCGATTATGCAAATCAAATGCCAAAAGTTCTCTAATAACATAATAATATAAATATAAATTATAATATGACACTATGATAATAATTAAAATAAAATTCATAGTAAATAATTAAAATATTTTATTGCACCAAATGTTGAACCAATGAGAAAACAATATTTTTGTATGGGTTTTACTTTTACGTGATGTGCAGATTGTTATGGTAATATGCGTCTCGGAATGAGACTTCAATAATATTGGAATGATAAAATAATAAGTTGAATAATTGACCGACGAAATCTAATTTAAAATTATTTTCTCGACTAGGTGACGATTATTTTTGTCTAATACGTTTTTCGTATTTTTGAATCGACCATTTATTATTTTGTCAATTGCAAACTGTAAGTTTAGCCAATTAATAACTAAATCACTAATTAGTAAATTACTGGTGTAGTATAACAGTTAACCATTGCGTTTGCCGTGTGATATTTCGCGAAAAAAGTGCGATATGGCTCCAAGACGTCCATTTAAATTTAACTACGAAACATTTATAAGTGAATTCAAATTCTTTTATTAAAAATGTTAGAGCAGATACCTAATGGCTATGACGTTTATTTAACAATTTGTTCAAGTTCTTTTTCGATAAACCATGATGGGCGATCTGATATTAGTGATATTACTATACAATAGGAAAGGGAATTGGAATCGCTTACACACACACGTCTGATGTCATATTATTCATATTATATTTTATAGAAAATCTATTATTGAATAAATGATGGGTATGCAACAATGCGAGGTTCGGGGAACATTTTACAGAATATTCTCGACAGTCGGCGTAGACAAAAATATACATGAATAATAATTCTCGGTTTGTTATTAAGTCGATTGCTGAAACACCCGAAATAAGCTGTGTTATTTTTAGTTTACCAACAAATAGCAATTATATATAAAAATAATACCATCAAAAAATGTAATAAATAATAATATAATTTAATTTCATCATTGACTTTTAATTTTTTTATTGTTAGTTTTTTAAAAATATACCCAAAACGTTTTACAATTGAGAATGTAAGCAATGTATACACTGCTTATAATATGCACACCACGCGTCCACGCCACTATAAAATAAAATGTCTTTTTCGTTTAAATCATTTTCTTTGGAATTTGAATAAAAAATGTCTATGAAAATTATTGTGCATAATATTATGTTATGTGTAGCTATTCGATAATTTTAAATTGCTGTAAGTACAACATAAAATGCGAACCTATTTCATTTTCAAGTGGTAGCTATTAAAATTGAAAATTTTACGAATTATTAATTAAAAGTAATCGTGTTTTTTTGACGAACTGTGTCAAAATTTGAACATTTAAACTTTTTTTATCGAGAAAAAATGTTTGCCTCTAAATTCAAAATTCAAAAAATGCGTCACTGCAGTATTTACCTCTAAGGAACACAATTTTCCCCACAAATTCGAATTATTCGATTTGTTTTTTATTGTAGGTACCTCTACGGCTCTACCTAGTACCATTGAGTATATTTATATATTTATATACTAAATATACTCAATGCTAGTACTTATGTGCTAAATGCATATGATCAGCGAAAAACTGCTCAACCATAATAATATAATAAATTGGTTTTAATTAATGATTTAAGAGGATCTTTACGCAAGCATTGTTATACAAGGGATTTAATTTGTTTATTTACACTTTTCATCCAGAAAATAGAGAACGCATTTGAGCTAATTTTAAAACAATTCACTCGTATCTAATTTGATCTTATATTTTTACGATTTGTTGACGCCAATGTATCACTAACATTTTCTATTGAGTATATTATATAATGTGAAATAAAACGATTATTTCATAATTGAATGATGTATACAAATAATGGTTTTAAAAAAGATTGAAGACTATAACTACCTAATAGATGATATTTGAAATTTCCGTCGGCGAAACGGATGGTGGCGAGTCGAGTTACAGCGGAAAGAACGGGTACGCACTAGAGCGCTTATTCTTTATTTCATGTTTCAAGGACATGTGACCAGTTGCGCACTCGCGCAATGCGCATCCAAAATCCAAAACAACTTCTTCTACTATAAAGCTCGCCAGTCGCCATGTAATAGATGAACGGAAGATTGGAAAACCAATCGGAACTCAGAAGCCGACTGTGCGTAATGGATGCAAACTGCAAAGTCGCCTGCTGCCCGATCAATGATCATAGACCATAGTGAATAGTGATCAAACACTTCACTCGTTCACTCTTCAGTTCAAACGTTTCAGTACTTACGTAGTTACGTCGCCGTCGCGGTGAGTGTTGAGAGAAGAAACTGACAAAAACGCCTATCTTGGACAACAGGGATATATTTATATGGTATAACATTCCATTCCAGTCATTCACTCTTCGACAGTTGACAGTTGTCATTCAAATATTCAACGTTGTTATTACAAGTACCTACTTGATAGTATATATTACTGAATGGTATATTTTCTGTCTGTGGACTGTGACTTGTAAGTATTGTAATTTTTAATTTATTTTAAAAAATTTATTAAATAAATAATTGTCGTGTGTTGCTTTTAATAAATCATAATTTGTTAGGGGCTGCGAGCTTTGAATTTTATCTATCGTCAATACATCTAATGACTATTCGATAAGAACTTTTATTATTCTTAAATTTAGTTTTTTTTAAACCATTCTTTGTTTTCTAAAAACTTTAAGCTCATACAGTTATATAGTGGAGTACCTAGGTATATCAAATGTCATGTAAATTATAACATTATGTTTATATATAAGATAACCGGATGAACTTATTATATAAGGACAATACTTGTTTTTGGATATAGGTCCTGTCCCAAGGAAATGGCTGAATTACATAAAAATGTACTCCTTTTAAATTATGTATTGATTACATAACAATATTAAAACTTTTTTTAAATTCATCAATTGATAACACTTACTTCTTAATTCCTATCAAAAGTTGTAATAAAAATTAGAAACTAAAAAAATTATTAAAATCGAATAATAATCCAAATTGCAGTAGTAATATATAAATATTTTGTTGTTGATTATAAATAAAATTTAATATCTATGATAGCTAATATTGTTTCAAGATAATTATAATATTTAATTTGTATTATTCTATTTGACTATGATAGTAACTTTATATTAATAATTATTAAAATAATAAATAATTTAAATATTTTATCGCAATTCCATTTTAACCACATTCTAAGTGCTTATTGATGAAATTTAAATATATATTATGTTAGGTACTTAATTATATTTACAAATAAGTAATTTAATTTATAATAATAATTGTCCATATTTATATTATCATGGTAATCACCATTAGAGCTTTGAGCTTCTCATATTAGTAAAGCATTAGGAACAAAACCTTCTACTCCAACATGAACAATTATTAAACGTTTTCCTTTATTTAAACTCTATTTCACTGTATTGTATTCGTCGACGGAACTCCATGATTTATTAACAAAATGTGATGATAATATATATAACTTTCATCAGTATACACTATTTTAAATTCTACCTTGCTGCTACGAAACTTAAGTATTCTATTCTTTTTAAATGTATATGTAAACACAATACAAGTAACTAATAATATTTATTACAGATAATAAAATATAAAAATTCCTAAGAAAATTTTATATCATACAATAACGTGTGAAGAAAATTGATTTATTTAAAACAATATTTTTAAGAACAAATCCTAAAATAAAACACAAACGTACACTAAAGTTATTACACTGAAAGATATTTATATTTAAGTATCGTGTAAACGAAATGTTTAGTATTTTTAGTTTTGTGTTTTATATAATGTACATAGTAAAAAACTAAAAACTGTTTGCAGATAGATGTTAGTTCATAAATATTTGTCTTATAAAAACTAAAATATATTAATAGCCTATCACCATATCACGTATTTACTTGTAAAACTTATCATGAACATGATTTATGGGGAAATATAAATTATTTTATATAATATATGTATTATTTCAGATAACCGCGTATAGTGAAAGAATAAACGGCTGGTTTATCTTTATTTTTCAATAAATTATACTCGACGACAATAATTATAACTTGTCCGTTTCTATTATTCGTATTTTAATAAATTATATTTTATAATACTACAGACAAAAATATCTATAAAATCAGGGAAATAACACTAATCACGACAAGCAACAGTAACGTGAAAACCTTAATATAAATTAATGAGTATATTTTATCTTTTATCCATATTTAAAACAGAATACAGAATAATAATTTTATTTATAGTCTTTTCACAATAATATTATATATTTATAGCCCGTGATGTTATTTTGTGTACAACTGTGCCTGAGACAAATAGAATAAAAATGAAATATTTTTGGACAGATCTAGCTAATTTTCACAAAATTTATCTTATATGAATTTATCTAGAAAAGTCCTAACACTGGCTGCGGGCGATACGGCAACGGCACGGTAAACTGGCCGAGGCATTGAACGTGATAAAAACGTTTTTAGTCTTCTCAAAATCGAAAAGCTGCATTCAGCTGTAACGGTGGATACTGATAATATAGCTAGTATTTATAGTAATTGATACATGCTTGGGTGCGTCAAATTTTCACAGACACTTTAAGCCTCTATAGCAGTTGTGGGTTTTGAGTTGTCTTCAATATTCTTCCATTTAGTTTGCCAAATTTCGTACTCTGCTTCTATAATATCATTCAGCCCAGGTAAATCATTTTCATGAAATTCATCAGCATTTTTACATATTATGACAATGGTTTTTAACTACAAAACACGTTAAGACATATTGTAATAAAATTCTAGTTTCGTTGTGAGGTATAAATCTTACATTTAATGCCATAATCAAATCGTCTAAGTGCGGTATAAAAATAGATTTTTTGTTAACAATATTCTTCAGTGTTGTTAGATGGTACATTGTTATTTGTTTCAATTTCTTTAACTGCTACAAATACGAGGTATTTTTGGTTCAGAATTTAACTTTCCAGCGACATCTTTGGCTTCTTTATAAATATTTTTAAATTTAAAATCAACGTTTTCTCTAATGGTAATGAAACACAAAACCTACATCGGTAACTCGATTAAGAGTATCAATATTTTTGCCTTGTAAATATTTCGATAATAAGTATAACTTAATAATTTACTAGACACACATTTATGCATTAAACAATTAAAGTCACAAATACAATGTTGAAGACTTAAAGCTCTCTTTTTGGAGAATCAGAACCAGAACATTCGTTCGTTTTGCACTTTTTCTAATGCAGCAACAACAAATTCTACAAATTCGGTTGATACTTTTAATTTACTATGAAAATGCAGCAATGATTGTTGAGTTCTTTTCATCAGGATTAGGTATACTTTTGCGGAAGTAATGCGCGAGCAGTCCCCGTGACGTCGTCGGTGCAAAAACTGAAAAAGAAAAAGGTATATTCTAATTTTATTTAACCAATAAATATAAACAACACATGTCACGCTCAACTGTCCTAGTATGTACGTGCGATATTAAACGCTTATTTATTGGACAATGAACTTTAATAGTGACTAAAACTATACGACGAAAATCGATCACCGTGTATCACTCGTCGCTTCGCTTTTGGAACTTTTCGGCGATAATAAAGTCAACAGACGTGTGGTGTTGTCATTGTGTTATGTACCGATTCGTGTGTGCGTATTGCATAACTATTTACTTTAAGAGTAATAATAAGGTCGTCACATCATGATATTTTTTTACCGAATAATTTTTTTGTGCGTCCCGGAATGATACTTCAATAATATTGCAATGATAAAATAAAAAGTTGAATAATTGACCGACAAAATCTAATTTTACAATTATTTTCTCGACTAGGTGACCATTATTTTTGTCTAATACGTTACGTTCTTCGTATTTCCGTTCCGTCACGAATTCACAATAGTTTTAGTTATCACTAAATGGATCGACCATTTGTTATATTATATTATAATATTTTGACAGCTGTAGGCTTAGCGAACTAATCAGTAATTACTGGTGTAGTAAGTGTTGACAACTGCGTTTGCCGTGCAGTATTTCGTGAAAAAAGTGCGACATGACTCTAAAACTACTATAAGTAGATAACGGCTGTGACGTATATTGTACAATTTGTTCAAGTTGGTTCTTTTTCTATTAGCTATGATAGGCAATCTAATATTAATGATCATTGATCATCAAAAACAAAAAAAACATAGAACATGTAAACATGATATTATGCAAGCAATTGAGTGAGTGGACTTACCTCGCGATTAGCACAAATAATTTTGTGCGGAAAAGGTATTCACCCCCTCCCACAACCTACACACACACACTCCATAATATGCCAGTGAAATTTTTAAATCTTTAAAATTAATAAAGAAGAAATTTTAAGACAAAAAAAAATTAAAATAATGATATTACCTACATTACCTATCATGATATTTTTACTTGATTTTAAATTATATTATTTTTTTATATTAGATTTAACAATTATTTATTTAATTAAATAATTTAAATAATTAACAGCTCAGTATTTATATAAATTATTTTATTATTCCTTTTTTCTTATAACTTAAATTCAATTCTAAGTGTTCTAACACGGTAACCATTTTCAACATATTTCAAAAGGTTTTAAAATGTCAGTTAATGAAATGAACGATTTACAAACTGCATGTGAAAATGATTTAAAACCAACTGTAGAATTCAAAAATTCTGAACTAAAAAATTTTATAAATTGCACTCACTCTGTTCAACTACTTGAAGACTTAAAATTATTACGCGAGTGAGTTGGGATTGATTTTAGTTGCTTATAAAATAGTATTAATAATACATTTTTTGTTTTTAGTAATGGAGATTTATGCGATATTAAACTGAAAGCAAATGATGGTATAATAATATTTGGACATAGAAACGTTCTAGTAGCAGCTAGTAAATATTTTCGTGAAATTTTAGAATGTTTTGATAGAAACAAAAGTCTTATTAATATAAAGAAGTTGGATTCCACTGTATTAAAAATATTATTAGATTATATTTATACTGGAAATATTGAAGTCTCCGATAAAAATGTTTATGTATAATTGTTTGAATTGTTGCTTTGTGTAAAAATGATTAAAATCCATTATTATTTACTTAAGGTTTTATTACCAGCAGCTAATCTTCTACAGTTGGACTATGTGAGTAGTGTGTGTGCTGATTGTTTAAAAACATATCTGGATGCTTCAAATTGTCTTAGCATTAAAGAATTTGCTAAATTACATAACTCTACGGAATTGTTGTCAAGTTCTGAAGCATTCATTAATAAACATTTTTTGTAAGATGTAAAAATAATCTAAATATATCCATTGTTCATTGATACATTTATAATATAAATTATGATTATTATTTTCAGACAAGTGGTTAAATCCGACGAGTTCATATCTTTAACTCATGAAAAAGTGATTGAATTGATATCCTGTAATGATATTGCTGTTCCTTGTGAAGAAAAAGTAAGCTAACTAAAATTGATAATTGCTATATAGGTACTTATGTCTAATATGTTGTTTAGAAAATAAACTTAACACAAAAATTTAATATAAAATAATCTAATGTGTACAGAGACTTGAATTGAGCATAACGGAATCTTATGTTTTATAAAAAAAAAAAAATTAAATAATGGGTGGATAATAGGTATTTATATAAATGTATGCACAGTTCTAGAAAACTATATGCTTTGTCACGATAGCTGTTACCACGTATTCAATGCTTATACTTCTACCACTCTACCCTTTGACTGTCATATAGTATGCTATCTGCATCCGCTGTATGATGTGATACACCTGCGACCAGCCAGTTTTTACACAGGCCCAAGTTTATCTTGGATAGATACGTTTTTCTGCGGTGAACACTATCTTTGAGCCTTAAAATTAATGACTTTGAACAAGAGTTCGACATTTTGTAAAAATATCAGCTCAAACGTTCAGTAGATCACTTACTGTGCACCACTACAATTTATAATCAGGTTTGGTTAGGCCAGCCAACATAATATGAAACCACCCCACTGTGTAGATGCTTGTGTTAGTAGTGCAGCGATCCAGTCCGCCACTGCACTCTGTTATAATTTAATTAAATCATATTTATTTATTGTTGTTTAGATATTTGAATGTGTTATAAATTGGGTAAAACATGATTTGGATTTGAGAGAAAATTTTTTGCCACAATTAATGGAACATGTGCGTTTACCATTAGTAGCACCTAATATACTAAAACGTATAATTGAAGAACCTCTTCTTAAAAATAGTCCTAAATGTAAATATTATCATCATAAATATGTGTCCATTTTGAATTACTACTATATCTTTTATTATTATTATAATGTTTTTAGATAATGACATAGTTTCAGAAGCATTGCATTTTCATCTAATTAAGACAGTTCAATATTTCACTATTCCACTAACGATTCGCTGTAATCCTAGACAGTTTGGTAGCTTAAAAAAAGTATAATCCCATTTTGATTAATATGTATTTAATATCTTCATAATTATTTTATCCATTTCATTTTTTCAGATTATTCTACTGTTCTGTTATTTTAAAGTTCCTTCTTTAGAATTGATTGCTATATGGTTTGACCCAGTATCTAATCTATTTAAGGCTGCAGGAAAACTGAAAACTGATATAGTGAAATATAATATAGACAAGAAGTTAGGCGTGATGAGAGAACAATTTGTTTTTGCTATGGGAGATAATGGAGAAAATCTCTTTCAATCTGTTAATATGCTTGATGTATTTTCGCCATCATTTTGTTGGAAACCGATGGCTGATATGTTAGTTTATCGAAAAAACCCTGGAGTTGGTATAATAAAGGATAGTATATATGCTGTAAGTTATACCAATATCTCACTTCTTTCATACTTTTAGTATATTTTATTGATTTATATTTTAGATTGGTGGATTTAATATTCATCATGGGCCGTTAGGTAGTGTAGAAGTTTTTGATGTGAGTATTCAAAAATGGAAAATGGTATCTAGTATGAATACTGAAAGAGCTAATTTTGGTGTTGGTGTACTCAATGATCATTTATACGTGGTGAATAATTTTTTTATTTTTCTATTTCAATTTTGTATTTATTTAATTTAATTTGTGTAGGTTGGAGGTATTAATGGTAATTATTATTTGAAATCTGTTGAATATTATGATCCCACACTTGACACATGGACACCAGTTGGAAAATTGTTAAAATGTTATGGTGAAGTTGGTGTAGGAGTCTTGAACGGTGTTATGTATGCTATAGGTGGTAGTGACTATCTTAAAAGTGTAGAAGCTTATAGACCAAGTGATGGAGTGTGGTTTTCTATTCCGGATATGATTGAAGGCCGAATTCATCCTGGTAATTATAATATTTTTTATTTTTTTTTTAAATAATCGTAAAAAATATTGAATTTAAATAATATTTTTATACAGGAGTGGTCGTATTAAATGGTTTATTATATGTTTTTGGAGGAAACAGTGAATTTAGTAGACATTCTAGAGAAGTGTACGATCCTTACACCAATACCTGGTCCATTGATTATTGGTTCCAAGATAAAGATTACACCTCCGTTTGTAGTGCAGTAGTTACTAAGACACCGCCAGATTTGATAGCTAACTAAAATTTATTTATTCTATCATTTTTTGTTTCTGTTAAAAATTTTTGCATATTAAAATCAAGTAATTAAGCTCTAAAATAAATTAACATTGTATCAACCAAATGGTCCAAATATTATATTATTACTATTCATATTTTACTTCTTGTGACTAATATACTGTAAAGAATTGCTATATACTTATCCCGTTGTCCAGTTTTAAGTCATTTGCCTGTTAAATATGCTAAAATTCCAGTTTTAAACTTTTATTTATTTTATCGTCTTAATAAAACATTTAGAGTAAAGTTCATACTTCAATTTTAAAATTAATCAACCATCTACATATTTTTAATTAATATTCTTATGAAAAGTGAATTTATTTACGTAATTTTACTAGTTTTTATACAAATTATGTAGCCTATTTCTAAAATGGTTTATAATATTTTCTATGAAATAAGTCATATTTTATTTGACTTATTTTCATGTTTTATTCTAAAAATGGATTTTTACATGATTTATATTTAATTTTTTTTAAATTTTTGTTCATACTTCAATATTTTGTTTAAATTACTTTAAACTCAAATACTTATTTATTATATAATTTAGTGTGTTATCAAATATGGAAAATAGACAGAATACACTATACAGAACTATTAACTAAATATGATAAGATTATTAAAATATACTTTATTCATGTGATTGTTTATTACATAATTAAATTGATAATTTAATGCATATTTATTGCTTTTTAAAATAATATTAAAATAATGATTTTTTTCTCAAGTGTATTATGCATTATGTTTATTTAACTTCATATATATTTTAAATTTTTAAAGTAAAACCCAAATATCCTCCTACATCTGATGATCGATAACTGACATTAGATATACCTTAGTTTATATTATAAATGTACTTCACCGACCATAGGTAGAGTCCTATTACTATTTTTACCAATTATTATAAAAATAGAATAATAACGTTCTAGTTTTATGAACAGATAGACATAATTTTTTGACAAAATAAACCTAATGAATGTGTGCATAATATGTAAAATACCTAATTGTGATTTTATTTAACATAGTTCAACATACCCACATATATTTTAATATTTAATTAATTAAAGTTAATATTAATGAGATATTTTGAAATATTCAAATATCCAAAAGGAAAATTGAACTGGGAATGAGAAAAGTTGTCCAACCCGCCAGTAATATATTATGTGAAAATCTTATTTGGCTGTTATCTTAGATTTTTTTTTTAATAAATTCTGAAAATCAATTAAGTAGTTGTTTGTGTTAAATTAATTACAAATTATGCAAAAGTCTGGAATCTTAATCTTTTGATTTTTTTTTTTTTTGAAGTGTTTGCCCATACTAAACAGGGTCTGTTTGGAATTCCAATCAGAATTATAAATCCGCATTATCTGCGTTTTGAAAACGTACAGCATATTATAATACATTTAGTGATCGGCATTCGACAGTTAAAATGTTGTATAATAAGTAATGGTAGATGGTATAAAAATAATAGAGAATTAACCTATTATCAAAAAACTTTAAAGCTCAAGATTTACTAGGTAAAACTAAAATTATTTTTATCATGTTGAGAAGATAAAAATAGAAAGAAATTTGTTTTTGCTTACAATATATTATTTTACTTGATAAGCGAGAACACAACATTATATATATTCATAATACATTAAAAGAACTTCACGTGTTGTCGACGGTCTAAGTTTTCAATCATGTATACTACAATATGCCAAATGTGTGTCTGATTATTCTTATTCTAATATTTCATACTACCTACATCATTAGAATGGATTTGCCTTATTGCCAATCTGTAAGGTAAGGACATTGTCTGTGTCACGGATTTTTTACGGTACTTTAAATTTTAATATTTTTGTATCTATTCATAACTTCTTAAAAAGTAAAACTATATCAAAACATTCGTGATTAAACGGAGCTAGATAATATTCTTATCTAGTGAACTATATTTAATGCACTCATGACAGAATTTATTTTAAATACTTACTCGTAAAATTATTTTTAACATTGAAAAAATTTGTTTAATTCTATATATTTTCATTCTAAGGTATTAATTATTCGTACTATTCTGTATATCTAAGTGTCTACGCGTATCAACTATAATTTCGTCTGGCATCACTTTAATCTGATCGATACAAATATAATTAATTATAAAAATAGAAGTACGACATATTATTATACGATGAATAATATTGTATTTTATGTTTTTAGAATTATAGTTTACTAAATTTTTATTTAATTTTATCCATTCCTTTATAAAAATGACTTAATACCTAAAAAAATTACCCAAAAAGCAAAAGTATTGAAAATACAAAGTAATAGTTACATTTTTTAATTCCTTGATATTTATATAAAATGAACTTTGTTGCTTGGAAAGCAATGTTTTCGTACATTCAGAAAAAAATAAAATTTGCATTTAAATCCGTTTCCTACTTATCACTTATCAGTAATTAAGAGGATATCGTACCGAATGTATGTGTTTGTGTGTGTCTTAAGACTCTTAAGCCGCATTTACATGACTGGTGTACTTGGCCAATAATTGGCTAAATATTTGTCGAAGCAATCGCCTTATTGTCAATCTGAATCTGAAAGGTAAGAACATTATCTAGGTCACTGCGGATTTTTACGGTGTTTCAAATTTTAATATTTTTCGTATCTACTCATAATTTGTTAAGAAATATAACAAAAAATCCATGATAGAACAGAGTTAGATAATTTTCTGATTATATACTAGGGAATGGATTTGTATGTAAATGTATATTTTTATTAAAACAAGATATTTAAGATTCGATAAGAAATGTTCACGATTTAAATTATTCTTATTAAAATGATGCTACTTTTAATTTATATATTTTTAAACATAGGTATTTTATTACTTCATCATTCATACATTTTCCATCCATGTTGCAGTGAGAATAAAAATAGGTATTTATCGGTAAATTGTCAAAAAAAAAAAAAAAATCCATGCTAGGTATCTATATTGATTTCAAAACAATCAAATCAATGGCTGACACCCTTCTAAAAATTTGGAATTATCGCCTTTTGATATTACGCGCTTCAAATATGCTCCAATTACATCGGTTGATGTGGATATGATTATTTAGACGTTTTAAAAATATTTTGAGACCTAATAGACGACATTTAACATTCGATAATTTAAAAGAAATTGTAGCTATTCAATGCAACAAATCATTTTGATAACTTAATAATTATATTTAATGTATTATTTTTTTTTTTTTTTATTAAATTGTTTTCCCACATATTCTGATGTTTTTAATATATATTTTATAAATTATTCTTCCATATTAATGTACATATAGGTATTTCTGTATTTTTATTACGTGTAAATCCGTTCCCTACTTATTTTCATACATTTTATAATTGGTTAATTCATTCTAAATTTACTACAAACAATTATTATATCTGTTAAACCCTTACTTACCATAGATACACTTTTGTAAAACGTTGACAATACATGGTGTCCTCGTAATGCATTATATAGATGTGTTGAGCTGTTAGCTCATATCATTAGAAATGCTTCAATGCTTTATCGTATGTTTTTGTAATATAGCTATTAATGTAATTTATTTTATTATTAGTACCACAGTAGGTTGATATGATTTTTTCCTAAAACATTACATCTATTATATTATTAGTATTTAATTACTATAAAAATATTTATTTAAAATTTAAACCATATAATATTATTGTTATTAACTTTTAGTTTAAAAACACTTTACTGTAAATATCTACCGTAAACTAGCGTGAATAGGTTCATATTATACATCTTAAAATGAATCAATATTCAAATTTTTAAAATGTCATATTGCGTAGGTATCTTTAGTAAAATTCATGGTACCTACCTACGTAAAAGTTTTAAGTCTTCACAAATAGGTTAGGTTTTTGAATTTTAACATGGTAAAACATAATAAACATTACATAATTTATCATTAAAATACGTAATTCTATCCAAATCTGAATTAAAAATAATTGTGTTAGTATATTTTAAGGTATTTTAGTTAAAGTGTAAAATACTAGTGAGGAACATTGTATTCAATGTTTACTATAGAATAAATAGGTACTTATAATTTTCTATAAAATAAATATGAAAACAACTTATGTTTTTGAAATAAATTTAAAAAATTTTAATCTATTTCAATTTTTTTAATGACTTAAAGAAAACAAATTTAAATAAAAAATTTCTTTTGTCTAAAATTTTTCCTTGTATTGAAAATTATAACACGAACTCTTGATGAAAATTTCAAATTTACTTTTATTAATTTTTGAGTTTGAACAAAAATTGTTATAATATGGTTGATAACGTTAATTTCCAATGTAAATATTTTAACTTAAAATGATCTTAAAAAATAATTTAACTTTTTGGTGAAATTTTTTTTTAATAAAGATTGCAAGTCTTATTAAGAAACTTGTATTCAATTTTCAAATCTTTGGTATAAATAGACATTTATAAATATTCATATAACATATAAATATGAATTTCCAACTATTTAATAATTTGTAATTTTTAAGATTTTGAGGAGTTATGTTAAAATTCTATTTAAAATGATTTTTTTAAAAATATTGAGATTATAAATTTTTGACATTTTAAACTGCAAAAATAATTAACTTATTAAGAAACGTATGTTATATTTACAATATATTTTGGTCATTCACTCATTCATAAATATTAAATTCTGAATGGAGCGATGAATGTTTTAATTTTTAAATGATATGTATTTTTTATGTGTATATAGTATAAAATAAACTATACATGTACATAAAAAGTAGTCGATAAAATGCTCCGACTTTTCAATTTTGAGGGTTATTTTGGATAAAAAATTAGATCTAGTTTGTACTTATCAGACATCAAAATTAAAAATTTCCAGTGCTTTCAAAATATTTTGACTTTTTTTTAGTTATTTAGTGGTAAATACTTGAGATATTTTCCATGATTTCTTTTAATTTTTTTTTTATAAATGTCGCTTAAAAATTATTTGTTAGGTAAAATATTAGAAAATTTAATAAAAACTCCTCATGAGTTGATAATTTCTTAATTAAAAAACATCGAAAATAAATTTTCATAATATTTTTTTTAAGCGTTTGTACATTTTGACAAAATTTATAAAACTTCATAAATATATAAATTGTTTTGTAGTTAAAAATTCATAATTTTTTTGTTTTTATACTTAAGATTAAAAATTTAAAACTAAGATTCTCTTAAAGTTTTTTACCCTGTATAAAAAGAAAATATTTCGGAAAGCAAAATTAATTTTTAGGAATATTTGAAGTGACTTATTCACAATAAAAAAAAAAAGTAATTCTATATAGGCACTTGATATTTTCATCATATATTTATATTATCATTTTCTATAGTTTGTATAATTTTCAAAATATTTCGACTTTTTATGATCTATTTTTACACATAACTTATCTTTATATTTTTTTTGTTTTTATAAATGTTAAAAAATTATTTGTTGGGTCAAAGTTTTTGAAATTTAGTACGGTATTTCACGTAAGTAGTTCTTTTATCAGTATACAGTATACAGATATTAGATTACATGGGTTCAATTTTATATATATATATATATGCATTTTAAGTTAGAGGTTTGACGAAATTTATCGAAATTGTAAATTATTTTTTAGCTAAAAATTCATAAAAACTTTTTGTTTTATATCTAAGGTTTGAAAATTTATTATAAAATATACAATTATAATGTACATTAGAGCGGTACTCACTTGTTAACCTTTTTTTTATTCGTAATTTTATAAAAAAAAATTTAATTGTCTCTATTTATCAATATTTATCTCAAAAAGAGTCAAAGTATCTTGAAAATTATATCATAAATAGAAAATTATAATAAAAGCACTTAAGTAAAAATTATTTGTTTTTATTATAATTTTAAAAAACATTAAAACTTGAAACATTTTACTATTATTTTGACTATCATTTTCTTTACGAATTTATGTTTCAAAATACTTATATTAATTTTATACTATTTATAAATAACTTGGGTACTTAAAATGTATTCTTATTTATTTAGGTATTAATTTATTTTTGTTACAAGTAAATTATTCGGCTCGGTAAAACACTGAGGTCTGAACATTAATTATACAACATAGGTTGTTCTTAAGACAGTTTAAAATTACATTGGCACATATTTTTACCAGTATTGAAGTTCATATTTTGAAAATTTGGATTTTTAACGAAAAATAACGATTTATTAAGTTATTGATGACATTATCATAAGGTATATCATACTATACTGTTGCCAGAAATTATTTCAACCTACCGCATAAAGTACTAGTAAGAAAAATAAAATACTAATATAGCAAATAAAATATTTTTATGACCTATTCTTGTAACGTATCAGCAAAATATACTAAATATAGTACCACATATACGCCTTATCAAAATATAGAATGACACCCGATAGTCTTCGCTCGGCGCTCAGAATCATTTTTAATATCCGTGTTATTGTTATTTATTTAAAATTGATTTACATCCATTAGAGACGACATCTGAGCACTCGATGACAAAGTACATACAATGTCTATTAATGCAGCAGTGCAAATTCCTTGATAACTGTATAGGTAAATTCAATCTTAGATAAATATAACACTTAGTTTGTTATTACCTGTTAATGTAGGTAATAAAATACAATACTGAATTATTGATGTTCCGGCAATATGTAATTAATAATTATTATATCTTATAAAATATGACATGAGTTATAGACGTTATAGTAATATGTCAAAATGACACATTTAGTTTATTTTATACTGTCGTGGGTTTTTTGTATTCTTGATTTGATTTTAATGCTTTGTTGTTTATTTTCTAGTTTTTCGTCCATTTGTCAATTCCAAACTTTTTGAAAAAAATACATTTCATTTAATATTGACTCGTAATTTTTACTTATTTGTTAGTTGCTAGTGACTTACTAGTTACTACTTTACTAATTACTACTAGCGTATTGTACTAGTGTACAAATACAAAAAAAAATAAAATGAATTAAACTCTATATCTACGTATCCAGGTACCTAATTAAATTCAATTAAATAAAAGAACATTCGATAAAGAATCGGTCGAAAAATTTACAACAATGCACAGGCATATAAATTTTCCAGATACAGATCATTGGATCCGAGTTTGGAAAACTCGTACATTCTTGTTTAAATTTTATCTCTGAATTATGTACCTATTACATTATTATTTTATCGTCGATCGATAATTTTTTTATTTTCACCGGTTTTACCATAACCTAAAAAATATCGCATTATCATTATCATTTATCACTCACGTGCGAGAAGCCGAGAAATCGTGAATGCGTTAATGTTTACATCATAGTAATGTATTATCAATTATTATTATAATATGTCTGAAAAATGTAAAACACAATATAGCGGTCTGTACGTTTCTCTCGTTTATAAACGTTTTTTGTAAACTTCTCAGCCCAACGTCATAATACGCACTGCCTTCCTCGTCTAAAGATTCTTGCCGGTCAAACGATACCTGCAACCGAACGATGGACGATCAAAGTTCCGATTCGTCTGACGAATACAGTCCTAATGTTAATAAAGAGTAAGTGTACTATCATAAATTCATAATTCATAACTCAAAAATTTCAACCTAAGTGGAATATTCGATTCATACGTAGGCAAGTTAAAAACATTTTTTTCAATCAAATTTAATCTCTTTGCCTCGACGACAGAAACAGTGTTTTCAATTTCAGTTTCTAACTTGTTCGTGTGATTTATTGCCATCATTTTTCAAATTATTGTCTGCACCATAGAGTAATTATATTTTTAATTAACAGCACAATTATTATAAATGTAGTCATTGTTTTTTGTTATTAAATATTGAAGCATTTCTGTTATACACTAAAAAAATAACATCTTGTTAATTTTTATACAATTATTGAGTATGAATCTTATTTTACACATCTAACTCTCACTTACGGCTTTTTTTTTTTTTTACATATTTTATAGAACATTAATTGTAAATGGACTTTTTGGAACTGCTGATGAAAAAAATAATGTTAAAAATACCACTATCTCTCCAGATTTTGGTGATGATATTAATATGGAAGCAGAAGAAGTAGTTGAAACAATAATTGACGAAGTGTAAGCATCTTCTTTTCATGTTATTATTATTTTTTTTTAATATAATGCTTACAACCATTAATTAGTGATATGCATTATTCTTTGAGAATAATTTTGGAATGATATTTAAAAATTAAAATTTATCAAATATTTAAATTAAGTTATAAACTAATTTTTGGTTTGTAACACATCTGTTACTGTATTGATTAATTATTGTGAAATATTAAAAAGTATAAACTAGTTTGATGTGTTTATTATTAATTTGTATTGATATTTGTTTTATTTCCATGTACCTTTTTATATATTTTTAGTTGTAATGAAAATGATTCACATGTTATAAAAACCACCGAAGAAAAGAATTGTGATGATAAAAATGGTGATTGTGTTCAGACAACTGAAAATAATTGTTTTGGTAGTCATATGTTATGGTAAGTCCATAATTAAGCTACTTATATTTTAAGAACATATTGAATAAGCTAAACTTAGATGTATGTACTTGAATACTTGATGTGTTTATTTACTATTTTTAAATTTGATTCAGTTTTTGTAGGTTTTGATTAATTTATATATTTACACATTTTATAAAATTCCATAGTTATTTAGAAAAATGATTTTTTAAAATGTTAAAAACAATTATCAATTGTTTTAGTACTCACATTAAAAACTTAAATATTGGTGGTTTTGTTGATATTTGGTCAAAGTGATAATTTTATTAATTCTCAGGATAGCTATACTAAAGTCTTCCTATTTTTGTTTTTATCTTATTAAATTTTGAAGACTTAATTAAAAATATAACTTCTAAAAAAGTTTTATTTGATACTTAAACATTAATATAATTCATAATTGTAATTGATATTTTAGTTATAAGTTAAATATTGGTGAAAAAGCAAATACATTTGTTGCTTATGTTTATTTACATAGTTATTTGTTATTAATTTGGTGCCTAAGTTATATTTCAAAAATAATGATGCACCTGGTTTGTTGGTGTATGTGACTCTAATCAAGGGTACTAAACCCATGTATTTCAGTTACCACTTATTTTATTGGTAGATACCTATTTAATGAGTATCATGTTTTGTATTCATAAATAGTTAAATTAATTTATACGTATTTTAGTTTTGGTTTTTTGAGGAGGATATACCAAAACAAATATTGATCAGCACTACTGACAATAATTTTAGATTATAATTATCGATTAATTATTGTTAAATAGGTTATTGGTCTTATTGGTCAGAAATTAAATATACATCTATTTGATACATACTGCCTATGTTTATTAAAAATAAATTTAAAATTAACAAACAATTAAAATAAGGTGCAATATTAAACACTATTTAAATTGATTATTTGATTGTAAATTTATTAGTTTTCACTTTTTTCATTAGTGTCATCCAAATAAATAGGTATTTTTTTGCTGTTAAAACTATAATATAGGTTATAATATGAATTTAAAATTATTTTATTATTATGATTTCATTAAATCATCAAGTTTTTTTGTTGGAATACTTAGTTTAGTTTTGTAACATACTCGTAATGTAAGTTGATGTTGTGACTTAGTTGATTTTTTTCATGACTAGGGTTTAAGAAATTTTTTCGAAACAATACATTTCGATTTTTCATTTACTATTTCTTTATTAAACAAAAAACTTTAAGCCTTAGATATTTGAAAAGATAAATTATTACCTTTAATTTTTTAATTGAGTAGGAAGGTTGAATATTTAGGTGGTATATATATTGTATAATATATATACCATATAATATAGTATATTTTGAGTTCTATTATTTTTCTTAAGGATTTAGGTATATATTTTGGGATTTCTAATAATCGAGAGCCACTCCTTGGAAATAGAACTGTTTTGTTTGTTTGTATTAAATCTTTTTGTCTGTTTGAAATAGATTGGCATATATGTGTGCTTAGATACAAGAAAAGTAATTTATACCTTTGTTAATAATTTATAAATGTTCATCATTGAATAAAAATATATGACAAGTAATGAGTATAGCACAGATTTTATTTTGTTAAACCAATAAGTAACAATAAAGGGCATTCGTGTAGCAGGTGATCTACTGCAGTAGAGTGATCTGCGAATTCAAGACGAGTGATTTATGTACAAATTAAAAAAATATTTTTTTTAATAGTATAAAAACACATAATATTTTTTATTACGAGTACGTCATAGTATTATTATACAAATATTCGTCAAATATTAAAAAAGAAAAAATAATTAGCCAAATATAATACTGATTTCAATTACAGTAAACATTTTTAGTATCATTTAAACATTTAAAAAAAGTATCTTGACTATTAACTGATCTCCAATCTCCACCATGCTTCAATCAGATGACGATGTAATAGTTCTGATGTAGTGCCATGCATTTTTCGAAGTATTTTCATTTTAAGATTGACCAAATGCATTCTATTGTCTGGGTGTTGGCTCCTGTTAGCGGGTTGACAAAACGTTCAGAATGGTTTACAGTCAAGTGATTATAACCTTAATTTTGTAAAACTTTATAGGGTTTCCATCCATCTAACACGATTGTTGTTCCTGGAAGTATTTCTTTTTCAATTATTGGAATAAGTGTAGCTCTATTTTGACGTTAAAAAAAAAAAAAAAACGTTTTTCAAGAAATCCATCATGGGGCCAAGTGGGTCAACACATTCCAAAAACCCAAGGTCCTTCTACTCGTTTGCCATAATTTCTATTTCTGGTATTAGGAAGAATATTTTCAGAATCAGAATCTGAATTTGAACTATCGTCGTCCGTTAAATTTGCACTTCTATGATCACCCAGCAAAATCCTGCCTCTATTATATTTCCTTTTTCCTCGTAGTAATGATTCGTCAATTTGAACACATTCATTAGGTCCACCCATAGGTTTCCGATTTTCATAAATACTACAACACACATCAAGGCATAAATTGTACCAATCTACTACTGTTTTATTGAACGTCCAGTGAGCCGACAAACGGTTACTATACTCATGTCTTCTGACCAGTAAAAAACTAACTCTAAAATTTTTCCCAACGACAATTTAGAATTACATTTATTATTCAAATCCGTACAAGTAAAAAATGTATTGTCTTGACGCAGAGACTGGAATGTTTGACATCCTTTTTGAACGCATCTTACTTTGGTACTCAGGTTGTTTACCAGAAGCCAGCCGATTTTTTTTATCACAATTTTTGTTTCGGAATCACATTTTTTACAATTTGGTGCTTCACTGTCATTTGGAAGTAAATTGTGAAGTTGTAAAAAATTTACAGTTGATTTTTCATCGAAAATTATTTTATAAAATTCAGGCGCACGCATTTTAGGTAAACTTCGACCAACGAATAATTTAAAACTAACGGACACGTACTGCTTCACATTTCATCGTACAATATAGAATCTAGATGTCATTAGGTTTTACCACTACTATTCAGTTGTCGATATTGTCGTGTTAGATACAACAAACTACAACCATCGAATTATGATTTTTCCCGACAATTTTACATTTATAAAAATGAAAATAATACGAAATATGCCCAATATGCTAAAAATTGCTTTTCTTGCAAATTCAAACTTGGTATTTAATTTCGCCATTTCATACAACAAATTTATAACTCACCTAGAATAGTCTACGATCACTACAAAAAACATGCAAATGCAAGAAGTCTCGAACCCTAAATATAATATAATAATTGTAGATCACCAACTACACCTAGTATAATACGATAGATCATCTGATACACCCAAAACGATGTAATAGATCACCTGCTACACGAATGCCCAATAAAGAGAAACAGTTGTAATATTTATGTTTATCTACTTGCTTAAATGTTTTTCTAAGCATTTATCAATTTCATTACAGTCACAGTTTCTATCAGCTTTGCCCTAGAAGTAACAATATGTATCATATGTTTCTGTTTCAAAATATTAATGATTTTGGCAGTATATTATTTATGGTATCGGTATACAAATTATGTTAGCAAAAGTTTGTTAATTTAAATTACATGTATAGTCGTTTACTTATTATATTTCATTTAAATTATTATTACTTTAAATTTTTAACAACATTTGGTGCTTAAAAACAAATTTTCGGTTCTACCTGTAATTTATTTCACAAATTTTGAACGTCAATATTACAAAGCAAAAATAATGTATGGATACCGATAATGGTTGTTAACTATGTCACATTTAAAAAAGTGTCACTTGTGCTAAATAACTTTTGATTGGTGATAAACCCTTTAATCACCTTGTGAAATAAATTAATTCAGTATGTTATATTTATAAAGTTTTTTATCAGTTAATAATTTAGGTTTAATTTTTAAATTATTTTAATATTTTTTAAGTTATGTAGTCATAAGTGCGCTATTGTATCCTTTCTCAGACTCATACTCATGGCACAACATACCAAATTTGCATTTAACAGAACCATTCTTTTGTTGTTAGTTTTAATATTAGAGTAAATTGATTTATTATTTAACCTAAAAGTAATAATATTATTTGAGACACGTAATAGGATTCTATTGATATTTTAATTTTAAAATAATCCATGATCATTTTAAAATCATAATATTTTACATAGTTTTAACTTCTTCTAAAATTAAAATATCAATAAAATATTATGAAGCGTTGAATTCAGCTCAGAAAGATATAACAAAAATAAGCACTCTGATATATTTTTAAGTAGGTATGTCTAAATAAAGATAACTTAATTGTTGTTGTATTGTATATATTATTTTTTTTATTTTAGTTCAGATTCAGTTGATTTGGATCACACAGAATTGCCATCTTCATTTGCTACAATATCTAAAAATTATGAAAAAACAAAGTAGGTATTAATTTAAAAAAAATGATAGTAAATATTTGATAGTTTGCTTATCTTTTACATAATCACTATTGTTATGTGTGATACTTATAGCTAGTATTATGTTATCTTAGAATTTTTTTTACCAATATTTTGTATATGGTTATTTTATTAAAAAAGATAACTAGTACCATTGATTATATACTAGTATATAAAAAATTATAAATATATATTTAAGTTTGGTTATTTTATATTCGAAACTAATTTAGAATACCAAAGATATGTAATAGGACGTATATTTTTATTAAATAATATTATAAGTTTTAAACATTTTTTGTAGAGAATATGATGCTTCAAAAGACTCAGTTACAACACAAGAAAATTTAAAAATTTGTGATACATTGCCTGGATCAGATTCTAAGTAATTTGATTAATTTCTCTATATGTATTATCTATCAAAATTATTAATTTTTGTTTTGTTTTAAGGGCTGCTGTCATATTACCCAAAGGCAATTTACCATCAACACTCTCTTTAATTTCTACTAATTACCAAGATTCAAGGTATATATTTTATTTTTATTTAATTAGAATTTGTTTGAAAATATAATATATTTTTGTCAATGTAAATAATCTTTTAGTTAATATCTACATACATTTTATAATCTATAAAAACGATAATGGACAAATAAGATGATCTGGACATGATGCCATCTTGCGATTATTTACAATTTAGAAAATAAGACATTTAGCAACTAAAATATGTGCAAAAAAAAAATTAAAATAGTTTGAGCTATACATCAACGAATTACTATAATAAAATGTATGTATCAATAAAATAATATAAATATAATGATAATTAATAAATAATATATTAAATACATTATCTGTATCATTTAAAATGTAATAAAATTATAACAAATATAATTTATACTATATAAAGAAATAATTAATTATGTAGATGTTAAATTTAAATTTAATATATTAAAATATTTTGGTCTATTCCTCTTGAATAATGAGATAATTTGTTTTAAATTTGAATTGGATATTTCTAGTTATCAAATTATTTTGCACATTCAGCGCTTATTAGATTTTCTTGCTTTATTTTGTTGTACTATTTTTTCAATGCATAGCTCTTCCTAACTTGAAGATATTAATTTCTGAAAAAAAAAATAATAACTTTAAAAATCTATAGGTATTGTAGATTTCAAAGAGTATTATTTAATTATTGATGCTCTTAAATGTTTGATTTGGTTAGATTTCTGAATGTACTAAAAATGAGAATTAAAATCATTTATTCATTTTTATTTTATCTAAGCTCTGTTTCTGTTAATACAATAACATATTTAATAATATCTACCAATGTTGGTTCTATAGTTTTGATGACTAAAATTTTAACTACCATGTTCAATTCTCCTAACTTCAACAAAATGTATTTATACATTTAAGTATTTATATTATTCTAAGTAAATAATTTCTACTTAATCTCATTTTGAAGTATACTAGAGTGGTCCAACTCACATTCCGCAGACTAAATACGATTTGAAACTTTTATTTTTGATCCTTAAAACCCCCTGTTCATATACTCAATAACTTTAAGTAAATTAATCATTATAATTACATATCTATATTTATCTGTTCCTAATGTAATGAAACATATACATTATATTATATACTTGTTATAAAAAATAAAATTTATTTTCCTTTTGACGGCGGTTATTAGCATTTTTTATATAAATGTATAAATTAGCCTGTCAAATACAAAAGGATACACCATCTTTTCTTATATTATTTAAATGATCTATAGGATAATTAATTTATCAATATCTATCGTTATTTCTACAAATTTAAATTAATTTATTGTTCAAAAAAATATAAAACAGATTGTGACAATAAAAATTTTCGAATTAATGGTATGCATATAATATTACATTTGTAGGATATTTCAATGGAATTTATTTGAGTTATCTTGATTTTATTTAAAAATAATTATGTGTTTTGAGTAATAATTACTAAAAACCTTTAACTAATTATTTTTCCAAAAAATTACTTTTATTGATTAAAAATTTAAAAATGTTTTAATAATATTTTATTTTTTATAGCTCTGATGACAGCGATACTAGCTCTGATGATAATTCTAACGACGATGATCAACTGATTGATTCTGATAATGAAAATAGCATCATTTCTGTATCATCTAATACATTTTCAAAGGATGAATATGTTAAGACTAAAGGAGAATTAGATATTAGTGATTTACCACCTATTGAAGATTTAAAAATATCAGTTGATGAAGACAAATGTCAACCAGTTGGATGTATAAAAAATGTTGTTGACACTTTAGGCAAGTATAATTTTAAAATTTGGGATTGCTTACTTTTAATCTATTTTTAAAGTGTAAAACCCTCCTAAAATATCTTGTATATATATATTTTTTTTTTTTCTGTATTACAGTTATCGTTGAAGCATTTTTAAATCAACCTGCACTGGATATTGACTCTGTACTATTTGTAGATCGAGGAAAACGAGCTTTAGGACGAATATTTGATGTTTTTGGACCTGTCACTAAGCCTTACTACGCTATCCGGTTTAATAATTCTAACCACATAAAAACATTTGATATACAAATTAAGGAACCTGTATACTGCGCTCCTCAGACAGAATACGCAAACTATGTTATGGTGTCTCAGCTCATGAAAATGAAAGGAAGTGATGCTTCCTGGAGAGACAATAATGAACCACCTATTGAGTTTTTAGATTATTCTGATGACGAAGCAGAAAAGTTAGCAAAGAAAAATCGCAAACAAAAAAAAACTACACAACCCTCAGGAGAAGGTGATGATAAAGTAAATAGAAAAAAATCGCCTGATCCTCCCAATCAAAGTGTTACTAGAAATAACCCCACACCGAGAAATAAGACACCACGTCCGTCATTCCAGAATTCCAACAATCGGACACAACAAACATACAGCCCTCGTCCTCCCAATTATGGTTATGGTCCTAGACCATTTCCGACCTATGCTCAGCATTTGAGTGCGATGGAATACAGTCAAGCTTATCGTCAACCATACAATCCGTGGTATTATGATCCAATGTATGCACCAAGACATAACTATCCACATCATTCTACTTATAATATGCCACCAGTATATGATTATCGATCTCAACCACCAATGGATCCGAATAATCCAAATAATCAATTTCATTACCCTGACCGTTATAATTAAAACCCTTGCAATTATTATGATTAAAAATGTTTTTTTTTTTATTTCATTTGTTTGTATTGCTTTTGATATATGATTGATCATATCAATTATTTTGATATTTCAAACCACATTGTTGAGGTATTTGGTCATTCGTTCATGACGGGTGGCTGCTGCTTACTCAGTGCTTAGATTTATTATATCTAATACATTTTTGAATAAAAATAAAAATAAAAATTTTCTAATGTATTGTTACTCATCATTTAAGTGTATTTTATTTTTCTATGATATAGATAATATTATCTAAATAAATTGTAGACAAATTTATTGAAATGGACAACTACGATTTAAATCGATACATTAAATACTACTTAACAAGTTCTATGACAAAATATTATCGAGTAGTTTCCTCTCTCTATGCAGTGGCAAAACGAACACGGTGTTTGAGAAGCGGCCGTTTCTCAATTTTTTTTTAAGATTTAAGGATGGGTGGGTGCATAACAAAAGTCACAAACAATAACTAAATATCAGTACTACTAATATAAGTATTTATTACAATTTATGTATAGAAATATATTATGAGTAATGACAGTTGCGGGCAGTAACGGCAGACGGCAGTAACGGAACTAATGAATAAATTCATATTATATTATGCGATTATGCCATAGATAAGTTTGCCATGACTTCAGGTGTTTAAAAAAAAAAAAAAAAAAAACAGTTAATGTGTAAATAATTAATTTCATGTTTTTAACTTTGTTTTTAGTTGACATAATATTACCGTGTTACTACTTGGGTTACTGTTAAAATATGTCAGGTAATAAATAAACTACTATACGAATAAGGAAACTCCCTAGTCTTGTAAAATGTAATTGCCTCGTTATGTTTCGACCGCGTAGGCATCTCACTAAGTGTGTGCTGCGCACGAAGCGATAATGATATTAGATTTCGATCGCATCGTAGACAATATAATTATAAACGCAGATGTCCAGAATAGGTAATACACGTTTGGGGTTGTAAAAACCGTAAAACACTTGGCAAGTGCAAAAAAAAAAAAAAAAAAAAAAACGGAATCCTCCGCATCCGATGTTCACATATTGCGTATTATGCAGAGCGACTGTGTTCACTGTTTGCGACAAAAGCGATAGGGGCGGACGTTACCACGAGCTCAGAGACTGCAGTCGTTGCTCGGTTGCTCGTTACTTCGATTGGCTGACGTGCGATTCTAAAATTATTTATTTACCGTGATCAAAACTCTGTACGTTTGTATTGTTTGATTATCTGGGAGGGAAAACGCCCACTCGCCGGCAATTATGCCACTGATTATATAGGTACTAGAAATGTAGTAAGGTACTTTGGTGTCTATGTGGTTTTTTTTTTGTACTCTTAATCGATAGAGCAAAATACTGGCTGATGCCTCCATAGCTAACTACACACATGTTTTTCATCTCCCAACGCGTTGATAACAAATAATAAGCAGAGATGAAAAAAGAACTAATTCTATTTACGTTTTTTAAACAAATATTTCAACCTTGTACGGTATAAGTTACGTTAAAGGTTTAAAACACAAAATGTAGGTACAAGTAACATTTTTCAATCACTTATAGATTTGAGTTATCCACAGTTGGCAATATAATATGTTTAATTTCTTCACAACGCTCGTAAGCTAATGTATTGTTGGTCTTTAACAAAAACTCATTTATGTATTGGTAAAGGAAAGGATAGACTTATTAGTTATTACGTTTAAGTACTACTAATAGTATTAAAATAAATGATAAAAAATAAAAAAAAAAAAACAACAATTACTGATACAAAGCAATATATTGATGATACAGCTTAGGTTTTGAAAATATTTTAAAAATTTGAAATCAAAATAAAAACCAAAAAAGGAACACAAAAACAAAATAAATATTTATAATAATATAAAATTTTTTAAATTAAACAATATATTTTTTTTAAGCTTAACATTAATATGATGAATTTGTGTTACAAATGTTACGAAAATTGATAATAAAGCGATAATTATAAATTAAGTCAATTAAAGTATGAAGATTTAATAATTATCGTGAAATCAATATGCAAAGGAAATAAAATTAAAAATATAAAACAAACTTGGCTAATTGTGTTATTGCAATAAATACACATCAGGCGTTTGTGGCAGGCATAGACATTGAAAATTATTGTATACATTTATAAATGTTCACAACATAAAAAGTTTAAGCTACCTAGTTCATTTATCAATAGGTTTGCAATACATTTTAACACAATCATAATTCACTTTTTAAATATTAAATAAATATTTTATAATTACAAAATTCTCTAAGCCTCACAAAACAATTATTACAGACAAATATTTACGGTTATGATTTTTGTGCAAAAAAAAAAAAAAAAATTAACGAAAAAAATGAAAAAATAAATAAATATTATGTGGCGTTTATATGAGTGTATATAAATATATAAATGTATATTCCGATTGTAATTATTGAAACAGATAATGAAATAAACGTTATAAATAACATTTTAATATATCTATAACTAATACGATTCTTACATAACGCTACCGAGAATATATATTTATATATTATGTAAATAAAAATAATAATTAAAAATCTTTATAACAAATAAATAGGTATAAAAAAAGTATAATTAATTTCTCACGATAATAATTTGTTAATTAGGGCAGTTTTTACAATTTGGCCGTTATTTAAAAAATAATAGCAAATAAATGTCTACAAACGTAAAAATGGCAATTTATGCCAATGGTCATAAAATTACAATCTAAGTGATGTACAATACAATAAATTAAATAGATGGTCTGAATGTTCATATAAATATGTATATGATTTAGTATTACCCTTCTAGAGTATAATTTGGATACAAACAGACAAGGATGAATGGCAACAGACAATATAAGATAAAACTAAATTTAAGTGCATAATATTGTCTAATCTACTCGCACCAACAATTTTCTTAGTTTATTTTATGCACAATGTAAAATTCATGATCACATTAACGGTATAAAGTAATTTTAATATATTTTTATCACAAATAATTATTTATATATACGAGTTTCAGATACCGTATTAGCAGCCACGTTACAAAAATAAATTTAAATGCATAGTAAAGTTAATCTTTCCAATAACAATTTAAAAAAAAAAAAACCATACATTTCAGATTTTTTTTAAGCTAAAGAGAATGATAAATATTTAAAAATGTTGACGTTAGAAATGTACAAAAAGTACAAGATGCAATAATTACAATAATATGATTTTAGGAAAAACATATAAGGAATTCAAATAAATACTAACTTATAAAAAAAAGAACTGAATTTTTTTTTTTTTTTTTTTTGTTAAATTTGACACCTATTGTTCTTAGTTAGACCCGTAATTTAATTATTATTAATTTTAAAATTAACTGATCAATTAACTGGATTATGTACTATATTAACTAGTAATAACTCGGTAATCTGTTCTCACAGTCATTCATAAATTGGACATAAATTAATACTGAAACACTATCTAACTTATAAAAAAATAAAAATGAATTAAGATGATAAAAATAAAATTTATGTTACCAAAACGCACTGAATAAGTTGTTAGAAATTAAAATTTAATACATGTAATTGTGTATTGGTACATTGTATTTTCAGAATATTTTCAAATTACTTCAAGCATATCTATATATTTTTTAATAAATATAGAAATAAATGTTAATGTTTCAAATTTAGGTAACAATAATTTTATAGCAAAAAAAAAAAAAAAAATAAATAAATAAAAATATATTCATCGTAGTAATAGATTAATTTGTTGAAATAGGGCCAAATCTATGACATTAAAAATAAATAGGATTACTCTTATTTACTAGTTACTAATTGCATCGATCTAATGCACTTGATTAAATAAATATCTATTAACTTAACAAAAATGAATAAACACTGGTGGGTGTCAAGATTGTAATGGTTTAGTCTGTTGAGTCCAAAATGATTAAAAGATGATTGAATGACTAAATGAGCTACAGACTATTTTTAGTGCTGGTTGACCAAAGCGTGTTTGCCAAAGCGTTTGTCTGCGTATTCTAAAAGAGAAAATTTCAATTAAATTAAATATATTAAATGTTGTTAACTTAAATTTATTCAAAAACTTATGTAGTAAATGTCTTAATACTAAATTAAATAATATGTAAAACAATATGCTTACATAGTTATTAAGCTGGAATACTCTTCTTTTTTTCTTTCTTCTTTTTAAGGAATGATGGTGTTCTAATTCCTTTCTTCTTCTTTTTCTTATCCTTGTGTGAAGAATCCTCGGTGGACATTTCTTTAGTAGGTGACCCCTATTAAATATTTAAACAAAATTGTTTATATTACTTTAAATTATTTGTTCAGATAAATAAAATGAAAATATTTGTATTACCTCTTTACTACTTGAAAATGTGCTTTGATGAGCATCTGATTGATCTCCATTGTATGTATTCTCTCCTATAAATCATACAATCATAATTCAATAGAAAAAAATGTCTGAGTTTTAGTAATTCTGATGAAAAATTGTATTTATTTAATTACTAATGATAACAATCAGAGAAAATATATAAAATTAAGGTGTTTATTACAACTTTCCTGCCTGCAACATTATCATGCATATTATTATCTTTTTATATTTAAGTAAGTTTTGATTTTTAATTGTTGAGTTTAGTAGGTTCCTTGCTTTTATAAGTACAATACTATGTGTTGTGTATATAACTAAAACCATACAAGTTATAACACTAAAATTCTGTAAACAAAAAATAAAAAAATTCTCCACTAGAAATATGTCAAAGAAATAAACTAATCTAAAAATGACTGCGATAGAACATACTTGTAAGAATTAAGAATAACTTAATAATATCAAAAGATAACCTTTCTGTATTCCAGTTCTGTAAAATAACTATTAAACATCAAACAAATAACTAAACTGCAGGACCACCTGGCTGAGTATCTCAATTCTGATCCAAAACTTCAACAACTCAAACTAATAAATATAAATATATCAAAAGTCAAACATGAAATACTTAATGTGTGATAATTTTATTATCTTA